ATCTACTGCGCTCGTAGAGGACGTGCAAAAGGTTCGATCGTGAATCACGTCTGCTGATATCAGCTGAGCGACGTCAAAAGAAGAAGCAACTAAGGAGAAGGCAGCAATTCATTCACTGTGGTCACCGACCAATTGTCGGCCGATCAAAATACACATCCGTCAAAAATAGGCTCCTCGATTCTCTTGATCCGGCGTCCACCTCTATTTACACCCTTGCACATTTCTATCCCATTTCATTCTTCACATCTTCATCCTTCTTTCCACCGAGAATTCTGTTGTATTAAAAGTAGCGATAACGATTCTCTTATTCAAATATACACTGCAGAGAATAAAAACTAATGTATACAAAAAAGCAAGGCTTTATAATAATGAGATACCGACATCTTCCTTGGTATTATCTGGGAACGATAATTTCGTTGTGGATGGCAGTAGCAGCGGCCAATACAAGTCCTTGATGCCACATGATGGACAACATGTACCAATTCCAAGTCTCCAAGACAGTATTTGCTACATAGATGACGAGAGTAGAAAACCCCTCATGCTAACTGCAAACAAGAAAGCCATCAAGTAGAGATAAATATGCTTAGAAGCACCAGTTTGTCCTAAGCCCAGAACAGGATTAGCCAGGGCCATAGGACACGACATCTCATCACACTGCCAATCCCTCCTCCCTCACCATGAAGATTCATGGTTCTCTGCCTGCCCCAGAAGAAGATATATAGCTCCGGTAAGAATCTCGAATTTTCTTCCCAAGAGACCTATTCTCACAAAGCTCACAAAATTTATCATGCATGCTTTGAGAATATGTGCGGCCGACCAGGACGCTGGGACCTGGGCCTGTTAGGCGGAGAGGACTTTCAGAAGGGAGGGGCGGGGAGCTTCTAAACATCCATCCTCTGCATGAAGTCCCGGTTATCCACTCACACATTCTAGATATGTCTACAGTGCTTGGGTCGCAGCTAGCCTTATCCATGGGCTGGAAGAGTGCAGAAAACGCTTGGTCAGAACGTGAATGAAGGCACTGAGAGCCAGAGGCCAACATTTTACTTCAAATCTGGACCCAGACCAGACCATAACCATCAGCAGCGACCTAAGCCCACCCATGCTATACAAATTACACCAATCCTTGGTTGGATCTTGACAAACACTGCCCTTAGCATTACTTGTGCCCACCCATTGAAAAATAATGTCACCCAAAACCCACCCAAAACCCATGGGCATGGGTGGGTTTGGGCATGGGCACCCAATGTTGGGCTCTGCTGAGAGCTGTACAGCAGTTTTAACGAATCGATCAAAGTTGTATATATGAACCTTGTACTGCAATCAAATGCTTTTTGAATTAGGTTAGCACTTAGTGTAAAGGGCAAGACGTGTGGCTTCGAGGATATGGGTAACATACTTCCCACAAACGAGGATAAAGTTATCATGCTTGTCGAAAGAGACAGTGTTATCGAGCAAGGTCCCAAACGCTCCCCCCGAACATTTTAGATTGAAACAGCTCTCCACGAAGCCCACATAAGCTCGCTCAGTTTGATTCCGAAAGTCCATGGGTGGATCAATTCAACATCATCAAGCACAACTCCATCCACTACAAATTTGTTTGGGGACAAGATGTCGTGAGAAACAGTACATGCTGAGCTAATCAAGAATCTAAGAACCAAATAGATGACAAAAAAGTATGGGAAGACCTCCAAGAATCCCCACGAGGAATGAAATGGGGAGCATGGACAAGGCACCAACAAAATAACAGTGTGCAATATTATCTACAACATTTTGAAACATTGAAACTATTAATGTCGATTCTTTTACAAACAATGCAGTATAATACTTTCCACCACTAGTTGATGTTTTTTCCCGGAAAATAATGAAAAAATTGCTGTTAAGATTTAATTTTAGAAAATGATACCATGCTTCTTCTCCTCTTAGTTGATCCATCTTCCTACTTAGGTGTGTCATATTTCTAGCCATGAGATTGAAAACATGACTTGAAGACGAGTTGTTGGTGAGGAATTCTCATAGGAGAGTGCTCACCTAATCCATTTATCCTATTTTCTAAGCATACACTGAGCAGGCCTGCTCTCCGAGCTTCACCGTTTTAGACCATGAAGTCACTAGCTAGAGTTTTATGAAAGTCCCACTATAAAAAGATTCTAACCAGGCCCAATAAGTAGTTTCATGTTTGCAAGGCATTCGTGGTTTAGTTGCAAAGCATCTTATTATTGCATTTGGAATAACTTTTCCAAGGGACTTGGGTCTGAAAATCTATTCTGTGAAGTTCCCGGTTCCATCCACAGACTTTTTTTTAATAGCTATTTATTAAATTTTAATCATTTTTGAGCATCTTTTATGGAGGCGGAAAGAGCTAACATTCAACGATTTTCCCATGTCAAACGCAAAGCATCGTAAGGATATTGTCAGTACTTTCTTTTTCTCCTTCACCCGACTACAAATACTAATTACACAAGAGAGAAGGCTATGCAAACGCTACAAGGTGGGAATAATTGCACCTCATCAACCACGTTCATGGCAACATGTGTTGTGTGGTTCAATCGAGATATCAACTGGGTAGTTTTCAGTCAATGTGGTCTTCTTGGAGCACTAGGATGGACACAGCTGAAGGTAAGAGAAACTTGCGTTATTTACTCCTGTACATGGATCAAACGACAGTAATGTGAAGCCAATAAATGAAAAGACATATCATGGGAAAAGCGGAGGAAATAATGCAAGTTAACCTATCCCTTACAGTACTTCCCAGTTATCCAACAAGAACGTATTATTGCAATTCCCCAGTTGATGTGTAGATTTCTAGATGTCATTGAACGCTACAATGAGGGCATTCCTCATAACTTTTTTTTATCTATTACTGTACTTCGATGTTTAAAAGTGGTTTGGATAGAATTGAGGTGTGCTTCTCACATGTTCTCGAACTTAACTTAGCAACATCACATGTCCCGGTCAGAAACCAATCAATATCAATATTACCACTGATGGGCATAGACATGGCACTGCGTTGAAGTGCATAGCACAACCGATCATCTCAGAGGTGGATCATGTGTTCTTGCTTGAATGCTGTACTTCGCACAGCATAACGGACACTTGCATAACCTGTAATAGGTCAAGACGAATTGAGCTAGCACGACTCCGTGTCCAAGCACCCAAGAGTAAAACCTCAAGTATCCCTAGCCAAAATGCTGGAGGACGAATCTTACATGCGCATCCCCAACCCAAGGCGTCAAAGCCAACCTCCAGGTCTTGAGCTGCCCACAACAGCATGTTGATTCTTAAGGTCAGTTTGGGTCCAGTCAAATTCGGCATGTTCGCCATATATTATATGTGGACATATTGATATATATATCCTCCTGCTCAGCCAATGATGTGAATGAGGACAACTTTTTCAGAAGCTGGTTCAGGACAGATAGCATGGTCGCTATTGCTACCTCAATTCGTTCCAGACCCGAACATAAAGAGATAAAGTAGGTATAGACAAGGTACCAGACTGGTCGGTAGGTGGTTCCTAAATAATTTTAAAGTGTACATTGGATGAAACGAAAACAGAATTCTGCATTTAATCGATGGGATAGAATGATGCCAAAGGTCCACATGTCATGGAATGAGTGCGCATGGTATGATGGAACAAACTCTTTCCTTACTGGAGATATTGTGAGGCTTCACTTGTCGATTCAGAAAGGACCATGCGAGTGCGTGATGCATCGTTTTCTGGGAGTTCTCGTGGAGGATTGATGAACTAGACTATGATTAAACTGAGCGTTACTGTAGTAGTAGTGGCAGTAGTTCTGAGAGGGACTCGCTCATCATCCCATGATTCGTGGATCCTTCCATCCACAATTGGAACGTACTGCTTGAGGACTGAAGACGAGTAGAGTGGTTGCTCAGAGAGTGCCGAGGTTTGTTTTGGAGTTTCATTCTGAAATCCCTGTAGGAATTATTACTCCTATGTGGCCCACAAGAGAGAGCAGAGCAGAGGAAGGCACTGGAGTGGAGAGGAGAGGAGAGGATTGGATTCATGAGACTTCTGGTGGCCCGCCCCACAACCTATATATGGTTCATGGTTCCAGGCGGGCAGCTACAGATCAGTTAAAGAGAAAATTGCACCAGGTCCTCCACTGTTCAATCCTCAGAGTGGTCCTACAGCTAAATTTTTCATGCCCATAGTGCAGTACGAGAAAGTGCTCGGTGCATCCGCTTGATATTTACATATTGTGTATGTGACGTGATCATCTGGCATCGAGGCAGGCAGGCCGATGTACGGTCATACTTTCCGACCTTGTGATATCCATACCTAGCTAGCAGCAGTTGTTGGGCGTAGTCACACTGCGAGTTGGTATATACTCCTACATGCCGTAGCTGCCTAGGTAGCATTTGCTCCCGACCCTCATCTGCGTAGACACGGAAGCGCCGTGACCGAAAGTGGTCTCTCGGAACCATCCCGAAAGAGCAGAAACCTGAACGTTGCACCGAAAGTGGTCCAAATCTCTGGCCCACTTTTCAGCCAGTGCTGGCCCCCACCTTCGTACCATGCAGCAGATGGTTTACCCGATGAATGCTCTGGCTATTTTTCGGCGTACACTCTGCTCGACGTCCCAAATTGTGACTTTGATTTACATACACTGTATATGTTTGATCTTGACGTTATATTATACAGTCAAAATCTCTGCTCATGGTGTTCGATTATCTCCCCGGTAACGCTACAGTTCAGACATATGGATCGGTTATATATACATATAATGTTTTGTATTGTATTTTGCCGACTGATTTCATCAAATTGGTGTCGGTGTAAAGCAGGGGCGACTGCCTGCCCATGACATGGAATGTACGCTCGGAAAGGCTGCTGCTGTGCTAGGGTGGCACATAGAACATCTGTGAGAATACGAGAATAGCGATGATGTCTTCCTGTATTCTCGGAATTGTGCGGACTTTTCAGCATCTGGAGAGGGAATTGCGGGCTAGAGTTTCCGACGGGTGCCTGACGACAGAGGAAGGGAGACCGAATCATGGAAGAATGTCCACTCCAATGTGAAGTTTATTCCAAATATGTATCTGTGCGAACAGCTCGTGCTTTACAACAGCGAATGCAGCACCCAGCCAGGAGTGTGCGTTCTATACATTTTGAATTTAACAACAATTGAAACTAAATAGCTAATCTCCTGACAATCTCAGTCTTTCTGTGCAAGATGGCCGGCTCCGGCAGCCGACGCTAATAACATTATCACTACGGGGACATTGAGCAGGAGGCAGCTCGCTCGCTCAACTGACACGGTGGAGCCTGCGACCAGATGGAAAAACGGTGTGCTAAACAAGCTCTGCGGGCGGCTCCACGGATCCGAGCATCGGCACCCGGACGAAGAATCGAGTGTCCTCTTCTGCGAGTCATGGAACGAGATCCCATCGACGCACGAAGGAACCGGACCAGCTGAACTTGGCTCAGCAGGGCAGGCCTAGCGGAACATGCAGGCACAAACACATATAAAAACAGAACCTCTACATTCAATTCACATCTCTACACAACCAAGCAAAGAATTCAACGTTGCGTCTCTCAGACCTGCGCATCAGCTCCCAAACGAAGGACGGCCGGCAGTAAACTCCTGCTGCAGCTGCTGCGGCTGCCCTGTCCGGGTCCGGAAGCTGCAATGGTGAAACTAAATAAACAGCACGATCTGAGTGAACTTGGCGATTTTTAGTGACGATCTGGTGGTCCATTAGAGCGGAGTCCTAAACACTGGCTACGGGAACTGGCGGCGGCGCAGCTGCTCAGTAGTCTTCGGAGATGGGGGCGTGGCCGGTCTCGGGGGTCAAGAAAACTTCTCCGTAGAGAATTCCAGCGATTCCTCCTCCGATCAGAGGGCCGACCCAGTAGATCCAGTGATTGTGGAAGTCCATGGTGGCGAAGGCGGGGCCGAAAGAGCGAGCTGGGTTCATGGAAGCGCCGGTGAAGGGCACTCCGATGAAGTGGTTGGCCAACACTGTGAACCCGATGGCCAAAGGTGCGACCACTCCGATCGATCCCTTCTTGGGGTCCACGGCCGTGGCGTACACCACGAACACCAACGAGAAGGTCAGCACAATCTCCAGCACAATTCCTCCGATGAAGGTCACGTCCGCTCCGAGTCCGTGGATGGGCACAACCTGCAATCGCCGCCACCGTCGGCTCGCTTCAGCTCGACAACTCCATTTCCATGTCTTTCACAGATCCATTTCGGCTTCTCTTCTACTCCGACTGACAACAGAAAACCGGAACAGCACATGAAACGCAGAAGGGGACTCACCTCTCCGACGGAGGCGATCACGTTTTGGAGGAGGTAAGAGGCGAGGGTGGCACCGAGCAGCTGGGCGATCCAGTAGAGAGCAGCGCGCAAGACAGTGATGTGACCACCGACTGCAAGCCCGAAGGTCACAGCGGGGTTCACATGTCCTCCGGAGATGTTGGCGGTGGCAGCCACGGTGATGACAATTGCCAAACCGTGAGCGATGGCGATCGACACCAACCCCGCAGCCTCCAGGGGTCCAGCGTTCAGCTTGGCTGCAAGCACACCAAGTCACCCGAAATCAGCACAAGTTTTAGCACCCATGCACGTCACGCTCGTCTCTAGGATTATATATTCACGTGTCGATGGGGTTCAGACCACCGGGCCTGCTGCTCTGTTGCTACCACCATTCTCCTCGTGGACCTCGTTCGCTCGCCCTCGCCCAATATATTCATATTCATATTCTTATTCTTATAACGTTGCAAGCCCAGCAGCCAGAGAACCCAAACTATTTTTAGCCATACTCAAATCTGCGCAGTCTGCGTTGAGGTTTTGGCCGAGCAACGCTCAAATAAATCTGTACAGCGATCGGTGGCCCGAGTTCTGCTCAGACTCTCTGAGCTCGGGCCCTCAATCAAAAACTAAGTCCGACAGATATCGACACAAAAGACTCAGGAATTCACGCGCCGAAGAACAATGGGGCTATCGTGAGACCTTGACACTCTAGAATACTCTGAGCCTCCACCGCCCCCTTACACTCCAGTCTGTCACATGCACAGCTGAGACCAGCTCTCGATCGACTACTACTAATCTTCGTGATCGCGTCACATTTCCTGAGATCAAGGACAACCTTAGCCGCGCCCGGTGACATGGATGGAGCAAGAGAGAAATACTCACTGTTAGCGATGCACGCGCCAACACCGATGAACACAAAGAGGAAGGTGGCGATGAATTCGGCGAATGCCGCCTTCAGGGCGTCCGGGGCCGTAGCCTCAGAGCTCCTGCCGAGGGCGATCTTGTTGATAGCCATGGGGACCAAATTTTTGAGTTAGACGACTACCAGAGGTCGCAGAGTATGATCGTCAAGGCGAGAGTGATGACCTCGGAGGAGACGGGGAGGGCGAGAGGGGGACTGCGGCTGCTCTGAGAAATCAGGCCGAGCCCCGGGTTTATATTCATGGCCTTATCGGAGTGACACGTGACGGCGATGACCTGGCGTGGCATTATCTGCCACCCAAGCGTGTTCTTTAGCCCCGCCCAGGTTGGCACAGTTCCCCGCGCCAGCGCCCGGGTAGCCAGCGGCCAGCCCATCCCGCGAATGGGCCAGCGGCCAGCCTTCCCCCTTCACGCCGCCCATTGGTCCGACACCTCACAAACCGTATCTTCTCAGTCGTTCTCTTTCCCCCCTTGCCTTCCTTGCCTTCCCTCCCTACGCCAGTATCTCCGCCCCCCCACCCCCCAATCCCGGGGGACCTCTCCAGTGCTTTTTCGGAATCCATCGGCCTCGAATTTACCCCAAAGTTTCCCGAAATTTTCCCTGTCCTGTGTACTTTTGCGAGAGCTGAAAAAGCACACCCTCACACTCCTGCAGAACTGTGTTTCCCTCCGCCGTGACGCTTTGGGGACGAAGAAGGCGACGCATGCAATCAATGACTGGGAAATGCACCAACTTTAGCCGGCTGAAAAGGATTTCTCATCCTCATCATAATTGGTTCTTGTTCGTTTGCAGAGATTGTTCACGGTGGCTGATGCGAGATAAATATTCACTCCGCTGTCAAAGTGCGCACTTATGATTATCCTCCTCTTCAGCGGGAGGCAGGACTACAGCATGCGCACGAAGAGGAGGAGAACGTTCAGTCTCATTTCGATGCCTCCGGCAACTTTAGCATTCGATCTATGAATTCAATGGTCCCGTGTGATAAAGCAACACTGAGGGGAGTTTGAGGTGCTCCTAGCCCATCCATCAGATGTGCATGTCATCGAGTGTTTGTCATCTTCCCCGGCCGGTCGGTCAGTCCGAGTGGATATATGAACACTTCTGGACATGGTAAAGGAAAAAGCATCTGACATGCTTCTCGATGACCAGACAAACACTGTTTTTTATTTTTCCTCAGCCTTTTCCCCGAGGCTGTCATGTAGCGGGAAAGTAAGAGCAGGAGAAATCGAAACCCAGCTGTATGAAACTAAATTTAATGCGCACAGGCAAGATCTCATCATCTCTCTATGGAGACCAGACTAACAAACAAGCATCGCTGTACTACTCCTGGCGTGATCTGCTCGGGGTCCAATCACGTTCACTGGCGTACGACCGTAATGAGACTCGCATCATGAATTAGGCGCAAATATATGTCCTTCGATCCAGGTGTGGATGACGACAAGCGATTTAGAGCGAGCTTAGGGACCGCGGGAGCACTGTGAGCATGTGTGTTGACAAAATTTTCTTCCCCATTATCTACTGTTACGACCACTGCTCGGAGGACGAAGACGAAGAGAGAACGCCGACGTCAGTCGAGATCCAATCCAAAAATAAGCACAGTTGTGCTGGAGCTGGAGCTGGAGGTGCTGGTTGTCGTCAGCTTGATTCATGCACTGACTGCTGCTGCTGCACCACCTAGAGGTTTCGATTCTTAGCGAGCAGCGACAGGCCCCTCTCCCCCCATCTTCCCTCCTCATCGGAAAGTGCATATCCTTTCCACCACCTTAACACTTTTTGAAGACTTTAACTCTTCTAGGGTCTCTGTGGAAGCACTCGCATGAGACAGTGGCTCGAGGCGCTCAAGCAAACGTGGCAAATTAATCCGTGATTTGTACAATTCTTCTGCTTCTATGCATGCAGTGCAATTTGTCCTCATGGAGCTAGCCTCTCAGCCTGCGAGTAGTGGTGCTCAAGACGAGGAGGGATTGGGGTCCAGTGTTAAAAAGCCAGCCTAAACAGATGCCTCCACTCAGATCAAACATGTTCCAATGTGTGACAGACACATCCTCATCTCATCGTCATTGTAACTTTGTAGGCATAAACTTTACTTCGAACTTTCTTCACGAGTTTTGATGAAACGTTTGAGATGCTTCTGGATGATCGCTTGCTTTGGATTCAGTACTGGTTTTGTACCTGTCTAGTGACCTTCTGAAGCATAATACCTTCTGCTAAATCATTTATTATTGTACCGTACATTGCAACTGCTCCAGCAATCTGATGCAAGCTGAACAATGATTGTCCTTGGATTCGGAATAAGAAGGAGAAGAAGCAGCAGCTCAGACTAGCATCTCTAGAGAATTCAGCGAATAGATACAAAGTTTATATATATTATGTTTGTTTGCTTTCCATGGGTGCGCATGGACGTGCTAGGTCTCACAGAAGATGCTTTACTGTGACAACGTTCTTTCCATGAGAGATATGACATTTATGTGTTATCTGCCACACAAAGCTACCTTTCCCCTCCACATCCATCATCACTGCAGCAGTTGATGACTATCCTTGAATTCGCTCTCGTTGTATGTTTTCTCTATTTCTTAGAGATCTTTCAGTGGAAGGCGCGTTTCGTTTAATAAACCCATGAATCTCAATATGGGCACAGAAGGTGATCCGGGTAGCTAGAGCTACTTAGCAAAAAGAATGGTAATACCCCATCAATGCTCAGGTTTGAAACCGACTGTTTAAAACGGGGCTAGGGCCCAATAGCATCACCTTGAGAATACCATAATTTAGCCTCAATTGTTCGAACTATGTACAAACAAGAGTAAAACATGGAAATTTAATGAATTAATGTGATCAGTTTAGTGTAGATAGTAGTAGCAAATGCTCTTTTCAAATGTCTCAAAAATACAATATATAATGAGTTCAAGATACAAATCACTTGACTATGATAGATTCTCGAGTATACGCAAACTTCACGAATCCATGAAACTTCGACCCCAAAGTAACAAAGAGAAAAAATTGTAATTTACTCGGATAACTTGGCAGCTATTATAGTAATCACGTGTCTGAATTTCATTTCTATCTTAATTAGGTGACGACTCAATGTGAATGTGCATCATCCCAGCGACTCCCTCACTTGCTTCAAATTCAAAGTCGACAGGAAGACATTTGTGAAATATAGAAATGCTCTCAGATCAGAGCAAAACTGGAAAAGCTGAATTCTCTTAATCTTTCCCAACCTTCGCTTATGACCTTGCGCTCCGATATACTCGCCTGCTATTGACTCCTCTCACCCTCATCAGCAACAACCGTCAAAATAGGAAAAGAGCAACGAGTTTCATAAACACATCCCTCTCGACGATTGAACCAAATTCTTGTTGAGAATGATGAATGAACTTATGAATCCAAGTCACACCCAGCGCTCTTGCACAAACCGCGAATCAGCATATGACGAGTTTTCACTCCGCACGAATCATTTGCTTGTTGGTTTGATTGCGTTTCACTGTTTCCACTCGACAATACAATACAGCAGCTGGTGGGTGCTTCACTTGCTTCGATATCAGAGTTGTCCCAGGCCCCATTGTGGACGCGACATAACACTCATAATTCATCCCTGTTCCCATGGTACCCTTCAGCTCGCATCACGGTCTCATCAACTATACACGACTAGGGAAGCTCATTTCACATGACTTTCTACACGTTTAGCTAGAGGAATGTGCTTTATTTCAAAAGATTCTGAGGACGAATTGTTTTTTTTTCCCCTGCAGAACCCGTAACAGTTCCAGCTCTCGGTCAGACAAGTACGGTGTGAGAATCCTTTCTGCTTGATATTTGCATCTGACGGGCTTATGTACTTCAGTGCCATAAACCTTTCTAATTTCTGACCAGAGACAAGTCAAAATGTCATTGAAGTTCACGAAGGCAAGAAAAGCGTTTGCTCAGCCCAAGCTCAGGCTGCAGATGAATGTACAGATCGCACTAGGTGTACATCAGGTGCACGCAGTCGCAAGCCAAAGGTTGCAAATTCCGAATCTACGGAAATGTGCATCTCAGGATGCCAGATCGTTAATCATATGGGACGTATGCACACAATGGCACACATCAGGACAGACGTAGATCATGAAGGTTCGGCTGTCTACATGCAGAGAAGAGAGCATCGCTCTTTGATAGAGCAATCTTATAAGCTGCATTGCATGCACGCTGGATCTCTGCCGCCTCACCGCTGCGCTTGTGGGCGTCTGCGCTGGCACTTGAAGGCAGGCAGGGGTAGGCGTAGAAGATGAAGGACGGAAATTAGCTTATCCAGTCTACAGCCGGGTTTGAACTGCTAAATCTTCATTACATGCACAGAAATCTCAGACTAGCATGGCATGACATGGGTGGGTCGGTCGAAGCAGGATAGTATTTGAAGAGGGAGGGACGGAGGCATATGCCCTCAGGATTTTATTGGGCGATTCTGAATTTCGCTTTATCTTCCACCAAGGTTGGGAGTGGATGTGATCCAGTAGCACGGTGGCTCTTCGTACTCCTGGGAGCGCATACTTTTCAATCCTCGTTTGGACTAATACTGTAACGAGGGCAAGGGGAAGGGAAAATCTCCGTGTACTTCTAGAAAATCATCACATTATTCTCGAATTTGAAAGCAGAGGAAGTGGTTCGTACGCCTGTGGTAATCATGTGAAACCTACACTAGCTGTCTCGGATGCAGTCCTGTCATTCGTCCTTAGTTACCTGCTTACGTCGAGGCCTTCTGCAGGGAATCGCAATCCAATGCTCTACATTAAGCTCTTGTTTTAGTTGGACCCTTTCTTGGCATGCACATCGTGGTCAGTAAGCATATGTGTGGAAGATATATGGCACGTACAAGGATGACAACTGAGCCATTGTAAAGTTTTTGAAGTTTGAGATTCAGACAAGCTGTACGTTCATGAAAGTGATGGACTAACAGCGTCGTGGAGATATTGCGGGAACAGGAATAATTCACAGGACCACAGAGTACCGAGACAAGGCCAAGCAGACTCATGCTGCAAGTGTGGATGGCACAGAATCTGATACTAGATGTAGCAACACATGGATCGATCGAGGCTTTTTGCCCTTTCTGGTAGACGTCTCGAACCGGTGTCAGCTGCAACCCGAGATCATGATCTGGGCAGTGAATGAGACTGCCCACTGAAAACTTGTGCTTCGAGCTGTAGCCCAGAACACCATCCATGATCCTGATTC